TCTCGTCAGTAGGCTGTGGCAGCCTGCGTAGGAGCAATTTTGAATGCTGGTGGCGGCAAAATCGCCTCACTTTATTTTTTCTTTTGTGTTCTGTGGCGATTATAACGGCACTATACACTCAGCCGTGTCAACCTTAACTGCCTAATATATTTGACCACACCAGAGGATAGCCGAACTGCATGGGTATAGCCCCCTCACTATATGAAATTCAACGAGTCTCATAAATCGAACAACATATATTGTACGCGTACCCCACGGTGCCGCGTTATCCGGACATGATTTGAGAAAGGTCTCAAATAACACAGCATATCCAAAATACAGTGTCGACGACAGTCACTTCACGACGATCGCACGGAATCCGGCTTGTCTTGAGGTACGTTTTGAAGAGTGATGTTTTTTATACACAGCACTAGTGCGAATGAACGAACGTGTCTATTTAGTTCCCATTCCCCGGACCCTATCAGCTACTTCTCGCCAAGACCGGGAACATATCCGGGAAGGCTTTTCGGAGATTATCTCAACGGAAATAATCCTCGAAGAACGTCGAACGGCCTGCGTCGCGGGCTGCTTGACGTTCGCTTTCTTCGCCCGTTCTCTTCGCTCGTTTCTTGCGAAGGTCCAGAAGGCTATAAGTCCTGGTATTCCCAAGTTCTCACAGTGGAAGATTACAAAAACACGCAAGCATCCTGAACAGGCAAATAGAGTAAACACTTAGAAGGAAAGCCGGCGAACTCCGAACACACGATGCAGGTGGGGAGTCGCGCTGATCGGGTTTCCACAGCTCAGGCGGGTGGCAGAAATTTTTGGCTAATAGGGGTCACTCGAGTCGCAAAATGGCGGCGGCCAGCGAGCTGTTTCTGCAAAGGTCTATACTGTCGCCGTGATAAAAGATAAGAGGAAAACCATATAGTAACTTTAAAAAAGAAAGATATGTACTTGTCTGTGTTTCTGACCTCTTTGGGTTTATTCTTTCTGTGTTTGTAAGTCTCTATAAACAAGCTCCCTAAATTTTAATTCAAGTTGTGTGAGCTTCATGTCCTGACTCAGTACGTCCGCCCGTCACCCTGTGTTCAATCCCCGCAACTTCCTTCAAGCCGTCAGCTACATCTCAATAATTAACTTTCTGCGGCTCCGTCTACGCTCCCTGGGGCTTTGCTTGCGAAAAAACGTGGCCCACGCCTCCGTGGACTTTGTGCTGGGATTCCACTCCCATACTTGGTTGTCAAGCTACAGGATCATGCAGATTTCAAGAATAGAGATATCCCAGGAACTTCGACTCATGAGAATGACTCTCCCCGGCCACGACAGCACTCCTCGATGCGTTTTACGCCACAGACCCTCGTTCCTCTTCCTCAGGAGTTCTGCAGTCGGGCTCTTGGAGGCCGCAGGGGTAAAAATCCTGGGGAGGTACGCAAGTCTTGCCAGAAGGCTTCGGACTTCAACTGAAACCCCCTGTTGTACTTTTGGACAAACAGCTTTCCCCGGACACGGTGGGACTTCTGTCTCACGGGCCCAAGTTCGCCCTAGACCTTCCAGCATCGAGGGTAGACCAACTGACATCCGTTTACAAGGTAGCAGCAAGTAACCCTGAAAAGGATCGTCAGAACTTCGTAGGGACAGCAGTGCATTCCGTTTGTGCCCACCTGCCTCCTCCAGGCAAGTCATATGTATACTCAACAGTAGAGGAGCTCCGCAACGCCCAGCTAAAGCTGCTAGAGTAAGAAAAGATGGTAGTTTTCGTTGTTATGAACGAGGACATCTAAGAGGAAAAGGTGGAAGCTGCACTCGAAAAAAGAACTGCTTTACTCAAGGAAAGACCTTCAGGGTCTTTAAGGTCTGAGGCTAGGGAGATATGCTCTCAACTGAACCTCCCCGCTCTGAGAAAGAAATGCGTTAGCTTTGCCCGCACATCAGTTCATAAGAGTGCCTTTTTTTTCTGCAAAGACCCATGCAGAAAACGCCCCGCTCCGCGGCATTGTTTCGGAGAACGGGTGCTGGCAGAACAATGGTCCCCAACGGCCAACTCTGCCAGCAACACCAGCGGTCGAACCAACGAGAGCCCCTGGGAGACAGACGGTCTCCAACACAACCATGGCAAATCGTCACCAATGACTTCTTCCATCTCCACAGTGTCACCTACCTACTTGTAGTGGACTACTTTAGCAAGTACATTGTGATAGAGCAAAAGGGGGACACCTCTGCTATCAAAGGATCGCAACCCTAAAAAAGGAGTTTGCTTGATTCGGCATTTTAGAAGGGGTCTGTGACAACGGCCTGCCATTCAACTCTGAAGCATTCAAAGGGTATCTCAAGTGCTTGGACATGACAAATAATCCAAGTTCTCCTGATTACCCACAGTCGAATGAACTTGCAGAGAGGTCAGTTCAAAGAATGAAAACAGCTTGACCAAGGCACCGAAGGAAGGCAACGACCTGTCTCTTGTCCTTATGGAGCTTAGGGACACACCGATGGATCAGCTCCTGTCCCCATTGGAACTGCTAATGGGCCGCAGGATCACAACCCTCAAGCCAGCTGCTCCGCGTTAACTTGAGCAGCACTACAACATCAGGGAGGTTCAAGCACGCCTTCAGTTCCGTCAAAAGTGTCAGCACCGACATGGTGACGCACACAGCAAACCACTACGTCCTCTGAGTCAAGGCGAGAGAGTCTATTTCCGTCGAAACCACAAATGGGAACCCGGAATTGTGGTCCAAGTCGGACAACAGCCACGATCATACCTAATCAGAGCGGAAGACGGGGGAGGGGAGGGGGGGGGCATTACAGAAGAAATCGATTCCCCATCTGACCATTCGCTTGAAACAACAACGCGATCCCTGAGGACTACTACCAACTCACGTTCAACGACCAACCTCACCAATGTCCTGCCCAGTAGTCCCGCATACCCGAAACCACTCGATCAAGCCATCAAGTTGTTCAGCCAGCAAGGTATCGCCGAATCTGTGGACTCTGAACTCTTAAAATTCGCATAAACTTTCTTTTTGCAAAATAAAAGGGAAAAAAGGATCTGTTATGTATTTAGAAAACTATGGTTGGTGGTGCCCACTTCGCAGTTTCTCACAAATCGGCGTTGATACCCACACGTGCGACTCAGCTAGCCTTACACCACAAAACAGCTATGTGCCTGGCGTCGTTCCCGTTCTCGTAATAAAGTTTGTCAACCAAAAACATTTCAGTATGAACAACGTTATCCACAAACACGGCACGTGTCAGTTCCTGGATCTCCTGGATGTTTACCTCCACTCAACCTCAGTGGAGTACGAGGGCAATGTTTATATAAAGAGAGCGGAGGTGTGCATCAAGTCATGCTTTGCAACAGTTATGAGTAAGGTATGTATTTACTCGCACAATGAACGCACTCGCGTAATGAACGCACCCCCCAAGTCGGCTTCCAAAATTTCGACTTTTTTTTTTCACTTGCATATTAAACCCACCCCCAACTGGGAAGTCAAAACTTTGACCCCCTCCCCTTTCCCCACACGCGCGAAATGAACGCACTTTTCTATCCTGGTGCAGCGAGGTCGCAAATGCATGGGTAGCGTGGCCGAACAAAACGCCTTGCAAAAGGCCTTAAAAATAAAAAAAGACCCATTGGAATCATTTATCGAAACTACAGTACGAAAACCAGTGTCTCCCACTTAGACTTGGTTCTTTCTAATTTAACTTCTCTTGAATCACGTCGGACAGTCGCTCGCCTTACTCTTTTTCATAACTTTTATTACAACATGCAATCATTTATGCTCACTCACTGTAAGTCTGTCTCATACATTTCTTTGCGTCATGATCATTCCTTGAAAATTGCACCTATATTTGGTCGCACTAATAGATACAAATACTCTCCTCTTGCTCTGTCCATTAAAAATGGGAATTCTCTCCCAAACGACATAGTCACTGAATAGAATGATAAAAAATATTCCGCAAAAAATTTTTGGCTTTGGTACTATGTTTTCAGCGCCATGTCTGCTTGTGTTTCCTATAAATTGTGCACTGAGTCCCCAGTTCTGTTGTGCCCGGTTTCTGTAAACTTTGTTCTGAATTCTGTATAGTTTGTTTTTAGTTTTTGTTTGTTGTTAATTTTTAACCTTAGTTAGTTCTTTTATTTCCATTATATCATTGCATTTGTTCGTATTTTTCTACCCCCCTCATGTAATACGTTTGAACGAACGTATTTGAGGCGAATAAAACTTGAAATTGAACTTGATTCGAGTCCATTGAGCTGCGAAGGCGAATACATCGGCCATCGGAAGATGCCTAAATGCTCGCTTTAGGGAACACCATTTAGATGTTACCAAGGCATCATCGGACTCGTTCCACCCAATAGTTCTGCATGCCCGTACCTGCCACGATTGCACCCCACACTTTGAAAACACCGCTTAGCTAAGTTCACACATAGATAAATGTGGGCCCGAAACAATAGAAGCGTTTAAGGTCAGATATGCCGTGAGCAATGTCTCTGGGACATCTTTGGCTTTGTCGTCAAAAAAGCTGGAATTTCTAGCGTAAAAATTATCGTAAAAAGCTTGTTGTGATCAATTAATTTTGTCTTTTCCTTTCTTTTCTTATTTATTTTCCCCCCTTTTCAGGGGTTAATTTCCTGATTATAATGCAGTTAATGTAAAGGTACAAGCGAGCTGGACAAGAACCTAGCTGTGTTTGGAGATTTGTGTTTGTCCTTTGTCCCTCTTGTTCCCATTTTCCAGGATTATTTTCGTCATTAATTTCCTTTCTTTTTTTTCTTCCTTTCCCCCTTTTTCACGAAATTTCCTTAAGTTTTTCCCTATAATTTTTTTGCTATCATTTTAATTTGGTATTTTTAAAGTTTGTGAGTAAATTGGTTTTATATTAAATTTTGAATATTTTCGTTTTCTTTCAATTCTTTGTCGTTCAAGGTCGTAGCGTAATGGGCATCTCATAAATGTTCGCTGCTCATTGAAAGAACTGTGTGTGTCTGTGTTTGTCCTTTACGTGTTTTATTCTTTCAGTGCATTCTGTCAGTTCCTCAAGGCTCTTCTCACATCATGTGGTGACATTTGCGTCCAGTGTTATATAGCCCTGTCACATGGAAGAGGTGGAGGAGACCAGCTTACTAAAAAGTATATCAGCATCACTGGTATTTCCTTTCTCGTTGGAAATGACTTCTGCCCCTTTTCTTTAATGGGAGTCCTTTGCATGTTCTTTGCTTACTTTTCAAACGGTTCAAAAGTGTGATATGGGGTAGGCAGTTATGCGACAATGGTGCATGCCCAGTATATCACGGTAGCTTAAACAAGAGACTTTGGAAGTGAACATCAGGAGAATCTCCTGTTTCATTCTTTCTAATCCAGGGTGCCAATTTCGAAACATGTTGTACAATCTTTAAATAACTTTTAGCACAAGGAAGGAAAAAGGAGAGGAGGCATTATGTCAGTTCGCTATGCAATTCTAGAGATTTTACAACAGTACAGTACAGGACACCAAGCCGGTTGGAACCAGATCATTACATCTGTCAGTGTGGCTTCTAGGTACTTTAACTAGCTTATTAGTTCGCAAAAGAGCTCAATGAATTGTGGAGGCTAAGCCTCGTAAGACTTCTGCAGACTGACTGCACTGAGCAATAAAACGAAGAATTCAGCTGGATTGTGTAACGTAGAAAGATAAACCGGGAAAAGAGCATGGGCAAAACTGGGGAGCTAAACCACGCAAGGCATTTCGTGCTATGTCTCGTCTAAACTATTTTCTTTGTTGCTGCACTTTCTGTCATCTTTAGCAGGCAGTATGCACTGATTTCACTTACATATTGGGTGGATTCGACCATAAAGCTAGACGTTTGTATTAGAAAACCAAGCGTATGTTTTATCGGAGTAATGGCACATAGAATTTGCACTCTTTTTAAGAGGGATAATTTATCTAAGCCAAATGTTTCATACTAAATTGCCAAAGATTCTGCCCCAGTTTTCAAAAACAGACTGGCAAATGCTTTCATTTATTTAGTAACATTTGATCTGTTTATTTACAGGAAACACTGCCTCTATTGCTGTCATCAACAGCCAGCTGGCTGAAATCAAGCCACCACACAGCTCCACGAGACTCCCAAGGGCAGTGAGCACACGCCTATTCTGGAAGGCTTCCGAATGGCGCCACTGGCTGCTGTACCACTCGCTTCCCTGCATGTACAGGGTCCTTCTGGACCAATACTGGCCGTACATAAAGAAGCTGGTGGAGGCCGTCCATGCACTTTTGAGGGACACCGTAACTCCAGCATCCATTGATGTTGCACGCGAGTTCTCCCCCTTCGGTTTCTTTGTGTCCTACTTCGGGCCAGCTTTAATAATGTCATATTGTGCTTTCAGAGAAACTCCTCTGGACCTTTGTGGGCATGACAGGGAGGCTGTATGGAGCTCCAGCAATGACGTTCAGCCTGCACCAGTTACTCCACCTAGCGGAAGCAGTGCAGCAACTGGGGCCATTGTGGGGCCATTCTGCTTTTGAATTTGAAAGCGGTAACGGGCAGCTTGTGAAGCTGGTGAAAGGATCAAATGCTCTTCCGGAAAGGGTAGTGAAGTATCAGCAGTTGGGATCAAACTTTGGTGTCCTCGCTTCTAAGTGACAGCGTCAAAGTGATGTGCTGTGATATTCTGGGATACACTAAACACCAAAACTTCAAGTATGCAAACGAAGTGTGCCTGCTCGGTTCCTCTTCGAAGGCATCCTTGAGCAAAGAGGAACAGAGTTGTCTTTCCGCTGGATCTGGGGCCGCCTTTGATCAGGCTACAGAGTACAAGCACTTCGCATGGAAAGGGCAGATTTGTCACAGCCGAAACTATGCCAGGAGTAAAAAGACAGACTCCTAGTTCATTCAAATAAAGGATATGTGCGATTTCACCATTTTGAGAGTGTTGCCTTTGAAAGGTGAGGTAACACTTCTGTGCAGGGAAGTTGTCATCACTTGGCAGGTGCTTTCCCGCAGCACATCAGGCTTTGTTTTCTTTCTCACGTGAACTTGCAGGCTGTTAAACCACAGCAGCTGAAGGCACCATGCCTTTTTCTCACTTTCAGGAAGCCCTCAGCATGCTATGTCTGTGATCTGTCAAACCTTCTTGAGCGCGATTGATGTAATGTAACCAGGTGTGCCGAAGTAAAGTGACTGTTCCCTAGGAGTTGAAATATTCAAAACAAACATCCTGTGATAATTTGTCCCTGTTTTGCCTTTGTGTCAACAAGGGAAATCTATCGAGATTGTGCCTTTCACATCTTCAGACTTCTTGTTTTGCTCCTAAGGTGTTCCTTCAGGTAACTCTACATTCATAAGTGATTTTCTTTGTTTACAATTTGTTATACTTCGTGTGCTTGATTTGCTCTTCTGAGACTAGTCGGGGTAATTTGATTATCGACCTGTGGAAGATGGCTATTGTTTGAGTAAATCAATTCCATGTCTCAGCCTCCTAATGTGTCTTTCCCTAACCTTTCTGACAAAAATGTGTGAAGCTTCTAGGGGTAGCAGTAGGGTAGGCTTGTTTTTAACTGCAAGCAGGCAAATGAGAAAATCACTCTTTTGTTATTATAATGCAAGTTGAAAAGACTGAAATAGACTTAGACCTTTCGTTATTCTGTCTACATTGCATCATAATTGAATAGCTTCAAAAAACTTCTGTATTCGTGGACCACAAAATAGGCTTTTGTTAATAGCATTTCACATATGATTTGATTGATTTTGTTTTCATACTTCTGTGTTAATTTTGACTAGTTAATTGTTTTAGTAACTATAGGTTATGTATGAGGGTTATAAGTTCTTGGCTCTCTTAATTACTGTACTGTCTTTCGATGATTTGTCTCTTAACACCTACAAGTACTTGTGAAAATCTTAAACTGGCACACGTAAAACTGAACAGCAAGATAGTTACTGATGCTTGTCTAGTGAGCTTTCAAACACAAATATTAAATAGAGCGTGCACATTAGAATGTATAGCAATGTATTTCTGGGGTGGAGTTGCCCTTTGAGGTTATTACTTGAAGTAAGCATTTGTGCAAGTTGGTTTAAATTTATGTAGTGTCTAATGGCCTTTCGGTGTCTTGGGGGTTCTAGTAATATTTTTTTTCTGAGATCAATCATAGTATAGAAATAAATGTAGAGCGGATGCAGAGGATGCTAACTGCTGTTAACGAATTCCAATAAGGTAGAAATGTTTGGCGACTTCATTATAAAAAACAATTACTTTTTTTTCATTTCAATGTTTCTAAAAAGGCCTTCTGCACTTGATGGGCCAGCTGCATTCTTCAAGTTGTCATGAATCTGCCTAGAACGTGCCTTTTTTAGCTCGTCTTAGCAAGACATAATAGCAGTAGGTGATGCCACTAAAAAACCTGTGTCGATATTTAGCTAAGACAGCTCTATATCAATTTCACTATCCACTAGCTGGGCTGAGCATTTTCAATTCTAGGCATACTGTAAGTTTTGGTTGGCAGGAATTCCATTTGTTCTATATTATTTCCAGTTTCCACAAACTCGTATATATGCTTTACAGAATAGGCAACACTGTCACCAAATGTAATACCTATAACTTAAATTTCCATAGCTGTTTGCACTTTGTTGGGCCAGCCTAACAACTAAAAAAATATAAACGACATACATATCCGAGATTTTTTGTTTCGCGAAATGTTTTACCTGGATGCCTGAGGGTTTTTCAGCGAATTTCTGCTAAGTGGGTCTTTTACAATACATTCAGGTTTCTAGGAACCACATTTTGTTTTCAATATTCATTTCAGTTTGCACAAACTGGCTTTGGGGATAAGTTAACAGAACAGATCCCTGAATGGAGGTTCCAAGTATAGAGCCAGATACCTAGGTGTTTTTAAAAAAACCCAGTATGTGACCACTATAGTTTCTCCTCCTGGATTTGTTTTCCCACAATATGTATCACATGGCGTAACTGGATATCAATTTTCAGGTGATGGTTCCACTAACTTCATTCTGGAACTGAAAACTTCCAGAGCAGAATTCAGATTCTTCATTCTGGAAATGAAAACTTCCAGAGCAGAATTCAGATTCTTCATTCTGGAACTGACTTTTCCAGAACCAAATCCAAATTCTCCAATTAGGAACTGACGTTTCCAGAACCGAATCCAGATTCTCCAATCTGGAACCGACATTTCCAGAATTGAATCAAGATTCTCCATTCTGGATTTCGGCTTTCCAATTAGCTTCCAGAAAAAAATCAAACTGGGTTCTCAGGTAGGGAAGTATTGTTACGTGTACACTCCAGTATGTGCCTGCGAAACTTTGTAACATATATTTATATTTCAGCTTGCTTTTGAAAGGGAACTTAGGTTTGAAACCGACATTGAAGAAGACGAAAGATGCCTCAAGAAGGTTCTCCTAGAAACAGCAGAGTTGGCCACCTTCCTTTGCTGTCCCCCAGCCCTTAACACTGTCTGCAACACCAACGAACCATGGAGTCGTCACAATCTTCTGCTTTCGCACCCACACCATCTGACAATGATGCACCATGCGTGAAGGGGATCATTTTTTCAAAGGAAGAACTGTGAACAGCCGTGTCTAAGATCAAGCCATCACAATGCCCTTGTCCAGATGGTGTGGCACCTGCCTTTTATAGGATGATAACGCAGTACAGTTTGATCCCTCCCTCAGCTGTCTACTTCAAAGTATTTTCGATGAGGGAGCTGTTCCTACCACCTGGCAACACGCCTTACTCACCCCTATTCACGAAAGGAAAGAGAAGCCTACAAGTGACGTCAAGCATTAGCGTCCAACCTCAATAACATTAATCATCTACCGCACATTAGGATGCATACTGAACAGTCAGTTCCTCGATTTTTAGAGAGCACTGGATACTTATTGCAGACACAGCACAGTTTTAGGCACGCCCGCAGCTGTGGGACGGTCCTGGCGACCCCGTGTCATTTTGTAAGCAACAATCTTGGCAGTCGCAAAAAGAAAGATTTTCTACGCCTTCATCTCAGTTACGCGTTCGATGCCCTCAACATCGATCTCCTGCTACATAAAATGTCAGGCGCCAGCGTTCATGGCTTCCTTCTCAAGTGGCTGCCAAACTAACTGAAGGGAAAAATCCCACAATTTGTTTACCAAGGTGTGCACTGAGCTACGATGAACGTCCCCTCCAGTGTGCCACAGTACCGGTTTCTTGTCAATGACATGCCTCAGGATGATAGATTTTCTTTCGTTCAGTACGCAGACCACACCTCGATGCTGGCTCCACTTACTGACACCTGCCTCCTTCTCCAGGACTACATCAAAGACATAAAGTGCCGGGTGACTAACAACTGCTAGCGGCTGCACACCACGAAAAGTGCCGTGATGCGCTTTAGCAGGCCCCACAGGGTGGGCAAATCGAGCTATCATTTGCTCAGTAAGCCCCTACCATGTATGACTCTTTGTCAAGCTTAGAAATTACATTCACACAAACATTAGATTTCACAGTGCACATAGGAAGTGTTGTACCAAAGGCTCGGCGAACCATGGGGGTTGTTTCTCGTATCTCCAGGTCATGAGGACCTTCGCCATAATCTCCGGTCATAAGGTGCATAAGACATTTCCAGAAAGATAAGGGAGGAGCCCCAAAAGACCAGTTCGACCACTTCGAAGTTTCCAAAACTTGCTTTTACGCAAAATGGTCCAACCAGCACCACAAAACCCTCTGCCATGGCCACTGATGCTTGTGTCATCGCCAAGTTTCAAATTGAGGGAAAACAAAGCATTTGTACATGACTTATTTTTCGTGGGCTCCATTTTTCGCGAATTCGACTGAAGCTGAAGAGCTGGAATAATTACTGGTACCCATTTTTGCAATCCGCAAGGACCTCACTACAGCTTTCTGTATGTTCACATTTTAGCCAAATAGTTTGTGAGACCTATTTTTTGCAAAATGTAGACGATTCGTGAAAATTGGGTCTTCGTGAAAATTAATTTGTTTCCAGTATACAGTGGTACTAGTTTACTTAATTTCTCGTGACGGGCATGAAGGGGGCCAGATGGAAGGCGGATCATTATAATAAGGGTGACGAAGTTTATGCCACAATAGGCTGGGACACATCACAACAGATATAGTAGTCGGTAAGTCAG